GAGATTATTTCTATTCTTATCTTTCATCCCTACTTTCTTCCCTTGCTATTGAAGAATTTAGTATTTCATCCCTCCCTCCCTCCCTTCCTTCCCACGTGCCTGGTTTGGGGTTTTCTTGTTTGTTTGTTTGTTTTTGTTTTTGTTTTGCATTCCTCATGCTTAAAGTCTATTTTAATATCTTTAATAAATCCCAACTCTGAGTCATAAACACAGTACTACAAATAGCAAAATAGACATCAGAGTAAGAAATACAAATAGTAGCAACACATGAAAATACTTCTAACCCATTAGTAATCTAAAACTTCAACAATGAGCTATTACATTTTTTGTCAGAGTACTACTTACTCGGTGTAATTAAAAGAAAACAAGTAAGAGACCACAAACTATTGGTCATAGTGGTTAAAATGGCAAAAAACAAAACAAAAAAAAAAAAAAAACTTTGGAATTTCGTGATATTAGAAAACTTAGTAACATGTAGCCTTTCCAGTAATTACATCTCCAATTAATTAAGATTAAAAATACAATAATTTAAAATGAGTAACACAGTGATCTTTTTCACAAGATTTAAATTTAAAATATTCAAATAACTAAAAATAGGGGCCGGAGCGATGGCTCAGCAGATAGGAGCATGGGCTGCTCTTGCAAAGAACCGGGATTTGGTCCCCAGCACCCACATGGCAGCTCACAACTATTTGTAATTCCAGTTCCAGAGAACCTGATGCCTTCTGCTTCCAAGAGCACCGGGCATGCACATGGTACACAGACATACATCCATACAAAAAGCAAAAACCAACTTGTTTTAAAAACAGAGGTTAAATTACAATACATCTATATAATGCAGTTTGTATCCTTAAAAATATCAAAGAAAAAGTGCTTTTACTACTTCAAATACTGAGAAACTATTAGTGCCAAACACTGACTTAAGAGCTGAGACTAGTCTATAGGAAAACCAAGGTCCCCAACTTTAAGAAGCTTACAGATGCAAATGATTAATTAAGGAAAACAATGGCTGTTTGTGATTACCAAAATGAGCAAAAGTATTACAAGAGTAAAATGTCTGCTTAATAAATAGATGAGGTGATTACATAACGGTTGAGGGGAAGGTATATTAAGGCTTTCAATAATGGGAGGCATACAGAGATGGGTGTGTGAATGGAGGAGAAAACAGGGACCAGAGAGCAAACGTATTGCTGTACACACACCATCACATCTACAAGGCAGGCACACTGACCTCCCCACCTAGGATACTGTACACACACCATCACATCTACAAGGCAGGTGTGCTCATCTCTTACCTGGGACCATTGCTGTCTTTCCTCCTGGTTGAACAGTTGCCTTGTTCGGCTTTGGCTCGCTGATCTGGGAACTCATTTGTGCGCCTATCCACAATTTCTCCAGCATCAAGTGCTCTGTGCAGTCGATAGTTGACCATCTTCAGAACAATGAAAACAGCAGCTACCACGGGACAATAAACTGCTACTATAATCATGGAAGAAGGAAGGGCCTTTAAAAGAAAGGAAATATATGTGCTTTAGAAAACTTTGTATTTTACTCAATTCTAGAAATTTGCACCTAAAATAAAGAAGTTACACACAAATCAATTGTAATACTAATACAAGTTGCAAAGGCCCAAAACAGAGGCCACACATGTGACTACTGAACACTTAAAATGGTGCTTAGTTAAGACTAAGTATGAAAAAAGTATGTAATATGTCGATTCCTATACTGATTGCAAGTAGAAATAATAATCGAATGATACTTGGTTAAAAACTATTGGAAATAATTTGTTTTTGTGGTATGACTACCACAAAATTTAAAATTACCTGTGTAGGCCACAATGCATTTCTGCTGCACAATGCTAACACATTGTTGGGGTGCGGGGCGGGGGCGGGGCGGGGGAGCTTATAATCCAAACTGAATAGCTAAGATCTCACATCACCCTGTGTGTGAGAAAGCCAGGGTTGTGACCCACATACAGTCCCTGTTTATGTGCTCTATGGAGAGGGGCTGGAGAGAGGGATCAGCAATGAAGAGCACTGGCTGCTCTTGCAGACGTTCCTAGCCCGAACACGGTGGCTCACAATCACCCATAACTCCAGCTCCAGGGGATCTGAGGCTCTTCTGGCCTCCATGAACACCAGGCATGCACATAGTACACACATGTACATACAGGCAAAACACTGAACCTAATTTTAGTTTTAAAAGAACAGAAGAATTCAGAGCATAATAACGCAATCAATAGATCAACTGAAATAAGTCAGTCACCTATTCTGGAGACTACACACCCATTCTATTAAATAACTTGATTATTTAATAACTTGAAACCTGAAGACCAGGGCAGCAGGCTTGGGGACAGGCCCACTTGGAAGGCATAGCCTCAGAGTCACCACTGCCAAAAAAGCATAAACTTATCAAGTTGGTAAACTTATCAGGCTGAACTTATCAAGCATTCTGGATTTATGCAGGATGACCTCATGTGTTCTCATCATATCATCAGATTCAACTTCAGCCACTGCCATGTGGAACCCCAAGCAAGCTTAGGAAAGGGGCCTCAGACTGAAATGATGGTGAAATTGAAAACATCTTCCTGGATGAGGCGAAGCTTCACAATACACAGATGTGGTGGAGGTTGTTTAAGTGACCTGAGAATCAGAGAGGGAGACAAAGCCCACGGCCTGACTACAGTGCTTGTGTTGGGATGGGAATAACAGTGTGGATTTGCCTTCTGGAATACTTTAAGAGACCCTACGTACTAATATCATTAAAAAGTTAAACTACTGAATCTAATTTAAAATATTTCTAAATAACTTTTTAGCCTTATGATTTTAAGTTTAAACATTTATTTTCTTAAATTAATAAATACCAGATCTAAATGCATTTCTGAAGAATGATCAGATAAGTACTTTAAAATGCTCAATTTATAAATGAAATTTAAATTAAAGAGATTTTAAGGTACAAAAAATAGACCTCTGGAAAATGGCGGTTAAAATGTTAGGAGGAAAGTGCACTTTAAAACTCTTAGTTGACTTGTATCGTTAACAAACCTACCCGGAGTCAGTCCCAAACCTTCCACCTTCTAAGCTGCACTTTTCCCACAGTGGGTCAAAGTGCAGACACACGGGGCTGCTGAGCAGATCTTCCCGGCCTAGGGAAACTCCTCTCACTCCTGGACAGCTGCCACAGCAGCATACAGTCTTAAGGGATCATCAACCTTGCCTACAGTCATGAGTCACCATATTACCAAAAAAGTATAAATGGTTATCTGTTTTACAGGGCAAACACCTCAACCAAGCACACACAAAATAACTGCCAAGTAGTTAGCTCAAACGTTTACTACTTTATGGATTACACACTAAAAGGGCAAAAGAAATTGTATTTGTGTTGCGTGGTGCTTATGTATGTGCTGGTGTTCATGTGTGTGCATGCATGTGAATGCCAAAGGGATCTTTCTTAGTCACTTTACACCTTAGTTGTGAAGACAGGGTCTCTCAGTGAAGCTGGAGCTCACCGGCAGACAGGCTGGCCGATGGGCTCCGGGGATTCACTTCCCTCTGCTGCTCCTCACTGGTGGAGTTCCGTTGTTCCCAGCTTGAGTACTGGGGATCCAAATGCAAGCTCTCCTGCTTGCACAGCATGCACCTTATGGCCTGGACTATCTATCTCCTCAGCTCCCTGTCTGAAGACTGTATTAGTGTAGATATGCAGCCTGTTTTCAAGGAAAGGGTGTTCAGAAACAGAATTCTAATTAGCAACAAGCATCAAGTCCAGGGAAACTAGGCTCTTTGGGAGGAAAAAGTAGTTTGTCCAAGATATAATTACTTAACCTAATGTTTAAAGTGTAATTTGTATGTGTTGTTTGAGATAGCAAGTTCTACATTAAAATCTCTATTTTTACTCTTTCTGGAAGGTAACTACTGACTTCACAATAGTTCTGTTCTACAACAAATCATACTTCACAAGGTTCTAGCTTTTCCAAAAAGGCACCTTTTATCTTTAAGTCACATTCTTCTACTGTGAGTGTTACCTTAAGCTAATGCCAAAGACAACCACAGGCCGTGGAGAGCAGGGATGAAAAGGCGGCAGCGGGGGCAGCTGGCATCTCTGGTGGACAAACAGGGCTCATTAAATAACCAGAAAGGTCACAGCTCTGAACCCCAAGATGAAGGCCCAGGCAGTCCCTCACACGCCTCAGACAGTGATCTAACAGCCTTCTGTTTCAGACAGAATGAACCTCCAAGGACTGTTAGCGAAGGCAGGCGAGTGGGCTTACTTCGCTGGTACGGTAATCAGCTGGTTTTGTGATGCCTGAGGTTTGTTTATTATGCAGTGATAGCCAGGTATTCCAACCAGTTCAGGCACAATCCAGGAGTGTGCGGTTTAAGGTTAAGAGAATGACAGGCACATCACTTTGAACTGACACTGAGGCTTTAAAAGAATTTTTAAGCAAACTTAAAAAAAAAAAAAAAAAAAAACTACCCATCTTTAATGTAAGACATCCTTTATGCTTGCTTTGGGAGCTTCTATAATTCTAACTTCCTCATTATTAAGGTGCTGTTTACTAAATTTAGGTATCACATACTAAGGAGGCATTTAGAAAACCTGAGAAATAAAGATCTGTGTGTACACACAGCAAGTAGAATCAAGACATATGAGGAGCTCCTTTAGAGTAGTACAAACAGGAAAAACAAAGGATGGGGAGGAGGAGGAGGAGGCACAAGCCTGCAAAGGGGCCACAAACAGCCAATAAAAACTGCATGAGAGGCTGGAGAGACAGCTCGGTAGGGTCCCAGTACCAGATACTTCAAATGTCAGCGTAAACTGATCAAATTGTACGCACTAGTGATGTACTGTCAAAATAAATTGGGGAAACTAAAACTATTAAATTCTATACACTACCCAGTCCCTTTTCCACTCTTAAAAAAAGAACACTGGCTGCTCTTCCAGGGGACCCAGGTTTGATTCCTAGCACCAACATGCTGGTTCACAAATTCTCTAAAATTGCAGTTCCAGAGGTCCCAATGCCTCTTCTGGCCTCTGAGGGTACCAGGCATTCACGTAGTATACAGATACACATGCAAGGCAAGCAAGACACCCATACACACATAAAATAAGATAAAATAATTTCAATTAAAAATAAACACATAAAAATACCATTTGATTGCATTAATAATGAGGAATACAATTTAAATATAATCTAAAACTATACCAACATACCATCTAATGCTCTGTGTAATAAAAATGAAGTCTGAAGAACCAGAATTCAGCCAGGCCTGATGGTGTAGGCCTGCAATGCCAACCCTTGTGGGAGTATTATAAATTCAAGACCAGCCTGGGAAATTAAATGACCTTATGTCAAAATAAAAATTACAAAGAGGACTGGGGATATTATAGCTTAGTGGTTGAGCATTTGCCTAAAAGCATGAGGCCATGGGTTCAATCCCTAGTACCACCAAATAACAAAGCAAAACAAAAAAACAACTCTGTAGCTTGTTAAAAAAAAATGAAAAATATAAACTGCCAGTTTCAACCAAGGTCTAACAATTCCTCTTATAAGCATAAAACTGAAATTCTAATAGACAGTACTAGATGACTTTTACAACAAAGAAGAAATCTCAACTGAAAATCACACACACACACACACACACACACACACACACAACTGGAGAATCATAGACTTTTTTTACATTATTATTTGTATGTGTGCACAGGCCTGTGTATCTGTGTGGGCTTATGTGCCAAGGTATGCATGCAGAGGTCAGAGGACAACTTGAGGATTGAACTTGGGTAGTCAGGCTTAGCAGCAAGTGCCTTTACCCACTGAACAATCTTGCCAGCATGAAAACTGTAGGCTATTTACCAATGTAATCTATGACAGTGAAAAACAAGACTTACCTGCAACACACATAAATACAACACACAGTGCCAGGTGTATACTCTAGATGAGTGTTTATTTCTTGTATAAGTGGAAAAAAGAAAACTTTTCTCGGATTTACTTTATGTGTATGCATGTACACCACTTGTGTCTGGTGCCAACAGAGACCAGAAGAAGGTGTCAGATGCCCTGGATGTGGAATTACAGATGGCCGTGCATTACCAAGTGGGTGCTGAGAGCCAAACCCAGGTCTTCCGCAAGAGCTATCTCTCTAGCACCCCCTCCCCAAAACTAAAGTTTACACAGTAATAAAGGTTTTCCTAGAAGAGTATATTAGTTTCGATCTTTAACACAAGCATCTGCGCCCATGTCAAGGATGGTGATTAATAACAGATCAAGTTACCTGGCCATCTCTGACTTTCCTCCTCATCTACGACATATTTAAAAAAAAATCTTTACTCTCAATTACATCTGACTATGTATAACCAGATGTGTTAACAGTTATCAGACAATTCTAGATATTCAAGTCAAATATAAAGCCAGAATGCCTCTTTACTGGGTTAGATTTTTTTTTAATATGATCAGGGCTCTTAAAAATTAGAGGGATAAGCCAGGTGTGGTGGCACATGCCT